GCTCGTCGGGGGTTCACACCGGAGGCGCTCAGCAGGGGGTTTCTCACTGGAAGTGATCGTCGGGGGGTTCACACCGGAGGCGCTCGTCGGGGGTTCACACCGGAAGTGCTCGTCGGGGGGTTCTCACTGGAGGTGCTCGTCAGGGGGTTCTCACTGGAGGTGCTGGTCAGGGTGTTCTCAGGGGAGGCGCTCGTCGGGGGGTTCTCAGGGGAGGCGCTCGTCAGGGGGTTCTCCGGAGTGGCTCATCAGGGAGTTCTCACCGGAGGCGCTCGTCAGGGGGTTCTCACTGGAGGTGCTCGTCAGGGGGTTCTCAGGGGAGGCGCTCGTCAGGGGGTTCTCCGGGGAGGCGCTCGTCAGGGGGGGTTCTCACCGGAGGCGCTCATCGGGGGGTTCTCAGGGGAGGCACTTGTCAGGGGGGTTCTCACCGGAGGTGCTCGTTGGGGGGTTCTCAGGGGAGGTGCTCATCAGGGGGCTCTCAGGGGAGGCGCTCGTCAGGGGGTTCTCACCGGAGGTGCTCGTCAGGGGCTTCTCACTGGAGGCGCTCGTCACTTAGGCCTGTGTCGAGGTGTTAGCTGTCCCTCCAGAAGGCTGCGTATCAGGTGCCATTACCTTCGGTTGCAAGGCAGATAGTGGCTCTTATACGTGCAGGTGAGTAGATTTCCAAATATGGAAGCTTCCTTGCATGTGCCCTAAAGTCCCGGAAAAGCACCCTTGACCTTGGGCAACAGATGTGGCCGTGCAGAAAGCAGCGGACGCTACTTGGGACTCCAGCCACGTGAGTTGTTGAAATGACTTTCCCCATCGCGAGCTCTGCACGGAAGTGCTGTGTTGCCTCGTACTTGTAGGTTTGGTTCATCAACTCATATTAGGGGCGCCCGGGGGCTCAGTCGGTTAGGTGTGTGACCGGCTCAGGTCATGATCTCATGGTTTGTGGGTTCGAGCCCCGCGTCAGGCTCTGTGCTGACAGCTCGGAGCCTGGAGCCTGCTTCAGATTCTGTGTCTCCCTCTCTCTCTCCCCCTCCCCTGCCTGTGCTCTGCCTCTGTTCTTCAGAAACCTAAAACTCAACTTTTTAAGCCTAACGTGATATAATATCTGGGATTTGCTTTAAAATATTCAGCTGATGGGCAGGGCTGGGATGGAAAAGAACCGGCCGCATAGTGATCATTGCTGAAATCAATGAGGTGCCCACAGAGGGCCCTCTCTACTGTGTGTGTCTGGAAATTTCCATGATGCAAAGATTAAAAAGACAAAAGCTCGAGGAAGAAACGCAATTTAAAACTAGTTAAGTATTGATCTAAAACCCCAAGTAACTTCTAAGTGATTTTTTCTGTGCACAAAGCTCCCATCAAAGAGACCCTGAGGCAGCTTGTCCACTCTCGTCGGCTTCCGGGGTGGGCCTGGGGCCAGCGGGCGGACCGCAGGGAAGCGGGCAGCGTCCAGCTCACGGCACGGGGCACTCGGGCCGAGGTCGGCCGTCAGCCCACGCCTGTGCCCAGGGCCTTCTCCAGGGGACCCGCGTGCCTGGGGAAGGACGCGAGGCAGCAACGGCCAGTCGCGTCCATCCCGTCAGCGTGGTTCTGAGGGTGGGTGAGTCCCCTCGCCGGCCAGCAGTGCCCGCCGCGGGGAGGAGAGGCCAGGCGCGTCCCGGGGTCCTGCCGGGGCACCAGCCTGAGGTCCCCCCTGCTCACCGACGTGACCACGGCAGACATGAGAAGTGTGCTGCCGAGTTCTGAACAGCACAGCCGCCCCCGCTTTCTCTGATCCGTTTGCAAGGTCATGGAAGAGATCGCCAGCCAGGAGGAGAACGTCACAGTTCTTGGAAAGGCCATCGCTGACCAGGAGGGGCCTGCCAAGGTGGCTCACACGCGCCTGGAGACCAGAACACGCCGGCCTAACGTGGAGCTGTGTCGCGACGTCGCGCAGTATCGGCTGGTCAGGGAGGTGCAAGAGATTGCCCACAACGTCGCCAGGTAGGTGGGCGGCGGGGCGCGGGGCCCGTGCACGTGGACCAGCAGCAGGGCTGGGCGGAGCCGCGTGGGCGCCTTTGCACCAGTGAAGTTCGAGGAGTCCCTTTCCGGAGGGCAGCCAGTTGTGGCCATGCCGAAAATGAGTCCCAAAGTTTAAAATTTTCTGGAGCCCAAATCCAGATGTTTAGGTAAATATCCACAGGTTTTTTGTTTTTTGTTTTAAATGTTTTACTTATTTCTGAGAGAGAGAAAAAAAGAGCATGAGCAGGGGAGGGGCAGAGAGAGAGGGAGAGACAGAATCGGAAGCAGCTCCCGGCTCTGAGCTGTCAGCACAGAGCCCGACGCGGGTCTCGAACCCACAAACCGTGAGATCATGACCTGAGCAGAAGCTGGACACTCAACCGACTGAGCTCCCGGTGCCCCAAATACCCACAATTTTAAATGCTGGCAGTGGGGGTTTCTGCCTTGGGGATCTGGCTCCATTTGAAATCTGTGTGTGGCGGGGGGAGGGTCCTATGAGTTTGTGTCCTGAGCACACGGACCCCCCCCCCCCCCGGGAAGAGCGTCTCAGGTTCTCCCCCTTCTCCTAGGCTCAAGGAGGCCTTAGCGCAGGCGCAGGTGGAGCTGAAGGGCCTGAACCGCAGGCAGCTGGCCCTCCAGGAGGAGCTCCAGGTGAAGGAAAACACCATCTACATCGACGAGGTGCTGTGCACCCCCATGAGGAAGTCCATCCCCCCTCGGGGCGGGGGCGACCAGGGCGAGTGGGCGGGGGGCCTCCACCCCGACGCCGTCTGCTGAAAGTGCAGATGGTGAGGACGCTGATTAAACATGTCACAGTCGGTGGCACAGAGCCGTCATTTCAGGGACGCGGAACTGCGGTCAGAGGTGCAAGCCCGGGGCGGGGCGGCGGGGCCGAGGTTTGGGGGCAGCTCCGGGCTGCTGGTTGGGCAGTGGGGGTTCCCAGTTGCACCCCGTGTGGGCATAGGCCCAGCTGCCCATCGCGGGACTTGGGGCCCGGGGGGAGGGGTCCCAGCTGTTTAGTTCAGGTGCAGCTGAGTGTGGTCCCGGATCCCCCGCTGAGAACTGTGATGGGGGCCGGACCTCTCTGCGGCCTCCATCCCTGTCCCTACGAAACCACGTGGGGGCTGTCGCCTCAGACCCAGTGTCCTGGTCTCGCAGAGAGCAGGTGAGAGCGGAGCCCCTGGGTCCACCCGCACCTGCAGGCGTCTCTCTGGGTCCCTTTCTGCCCGGAGACCCGAGAGGACGGAGGGGCTTCAGCTCCTGGAAGGTCAGTGAGTCCCGGGGCTTGAGGAGCGGCTGGGGGGCCGGGCTGCGCCGCCTGGGGTCGTGCGGCTGGGGGGCCGGGCTGCGCCGCCTGGGGTCGTGCGGCTGGGGGGCCGGGCTGCGCCGCCTGGGGTCGTGCGGCTGGGGGGAGGAGCCTTTGCTTCATAGGCCGGCCGTCAGGCAGGGTGGGCTCTGGTCTCGGGATGTCAGCCGGGGAGATGGGGCACCTGCTTTGGCACCGTGGCTCGGGGAGGGGCTCCCGCTTCCTTTCCTGCCCGGGATGCGGACGGGGTGATAATCGTATCTTCAGACTCATGTAACAGCAAAGGAAGAGGAAAAATGTCCCCGTTTCTGCCGCAGATTCAAGCCAGTGTCTGGACGAGTAGGCTCTGGAGGGGGTAGGGGGCCGAGGCTCCCCGACACTGCCCGCTGCGTGGGGTGCTGTGCGGCTGCCTGAGCCGCTGGGACGGTCCCCCCGCCCCCCACCCCCCACCCCCGCGTCACTTCTGTGCAGCTGGACTCAGGGCTCAGGCGCCGTGTGGGGTGACCTCTCTTCCCTGGCGGTGTATTCGGCGGGATAGCTCGGGCGCCCACGCTCCGCTGTAAAAGTGCCCCAGGAGTTTCCACGTACGTGGTGTCCCTGCTCCAGAGAGTTGGCGCTTGGCTGGCCGCCTCCTGCTGGGTCCAGAGCACACACGCGGCCAGGGGACTGCCCACCCAGCCCCTCGCCGTGGCATCGAAGGGCCGCCTTGTGAGTGCGGGGCTCACGTCCAGCCGCCTTCCTTGCCGCTGCCTCGCTCGGTGTCACATTCGGCTCGGGGATGCTGGGGGGCACCCGGCCGGGTGGGGCAGAGCCCCTGCGCCCAGGTCAGCACCTGGATTCTAGTTCCGACACGGCCCCTCTCAGGGTCACCTGTAAAGTGACAGGTGGCCGGGGGTCGCCTGGGTGGCTTAGTCGGTTAAGCGTCCGACTTTCGCTTAGGTCATGATCTCGCGGTTCGTGGGTTCGAGCCTCGCGTCGGGCTCTGTGCTGACTGCCAGCTCAGAGCCTGGAGCCTGTTTCAGTCTGTGACTCCCTCTCTCTCTCTCCCTCTCTCTCTCCCTCTCTCTCTCCTAGAAATAAATAAAACATTAAAAAAAAAAAAAGTGACAGGTGGCCAGGCAGCCCAGGGCCTCCCCATCTGTGATGCTCCCGGAATGTGGCTGCCCAGCTCCAGACCTGGTGTCCAGTGTCAGACGCGCCCCGGCTCCCGGGAGGGTCCCCATCTAAGCGTTCCTTGGTGCGGAGAGCCTTTACTGCCAGCACACGGTGTCCCTAACCTCTGTGAGGCGAGGGCGTCCCCTGTGCCTGGACCTGCCCGCCCGGGGGCTTCCGTAGCCCATGAGGAGGGACCCCTTCACTCTGGGACGCCCCCGGGAGCAGCGCTGCTCTGGCGAGGAAGGGCCCACGAGCCCCTCCCCAGGGGAGAGGCGGGGGGTGGGGGGGGAGGATGATCCCAGGGGAGGCGGTCGGCAGGGTGTGAAAACAGCTCTGAGGGGCTCAGCGGTTCTTCGCGGTCTCCGGCTCTGCAGGTCCACCTGGTTCAGAGCAGCCCCGTCACCTGCTACCTGGTCCCAACAGGTCCCCGGCTCCCAGAGTGCCAGCTGCCCCGTGGGTAAACTGAGACTAGTAAAGCCTGACCAGTTAACTGGCAAACCAGTACATGGTCAAAGAGGACTAGTGAAGCCTGACTAGTAAACTGGTACATGGTCACAGAAGACTAGTAAAGCCAGACTAGTAAACCAGTGCATGGTGCAAGAGGACTAGTAAAGCCTGGCCAGTAAACTGGTACATTGTGGGAGAGGACTAGGAAAGCCTGACCTGTAAACTGGTAAACTGATACGTGGTGGGAGAGGACTAGTAAAGCCTGACTGGTAAACTGGTACGTGGTACAAGAGGACTAGTAAAGCCTGACTAGTAAGCCGGTGCATGGTTAGAGAGGACTAGTAAAACCTGGCCAGTAAACTGGTATGTGGTGGAAGAGGACTAGTAAGGCCTGACCTGTAAACCGGTGGGTGGTGTGAGAGGACTAGTAAAGCCTGACTGGTAAACCGGTAAACCGGTATGTGGTGGGAGAGGACTCGATAGGGCTGTTCCATGCACTGCTCAGTGTCCGTGTCAGTGGCGTCTTCCCGCCGCTGAAGCCGGGTCGGGTCTCAGTGCCCAGTAAGACGGAACAGAGCAAAACACGTTACTTGGAAACAATTTGTTGGGCAAACGAGGGAATCAACGGGCTCTTCTCACCCCTTCGACGTGGCGAGCGGGTGCGCCTGCCCAGGCGTTTCTCCAGCCTGCGCTCGGCCACGGCCGAGAAAGGAGTCAGCCCCTCACCCGAGCACCTCCCGGGGAGCCGGGCAACTTTGTCAGGCGTGTGACATTCAGCCAGTGAACGGACGAGGCTTGTGACTTCAGCCTGAAGGTGCCCCCCCCGCTGGGTGGCTGTTTGGCAGGAGGTGTGACGGGCAGGTGCCCGTGAAGAGGGTCATTCTGTGCCCTATGAAAGATCGCTTCTGTCGGCTTATAGTTGGCGATGTTTTTTCTAGGACAGTGACTGACATCCATCATTCTAGTACTGTGAATACGTATTCCTATATTTCTATTTTACTCAAAAAAAAAAAAAAAAAAAAAACTTAGTTCTTAGGGCACCTGGGTGGTTGTTGGTTAAGCGTCCGACTTCGGCTCAGGTCGTGATCTCACCGTTCGTGGGTTCGAGCCCCGCGTCGGGCTCTGTGCTGACAGCTGGGAGCCTGGAGCTGCTTCAGATTCTGTGTCTCCCTCTCTCTCTGCCCCTCTTCCTCAAAAATAAATACACATAAAAAAGGATAAAAACCCTTGGTTCTTGGCAACTCCAGCTTCCACGGCAGCGTTTCTAAGCTACGTGTGGTAAAACGGGAGCCGCCTCTGACTCGCCTGACGCCCTTGGCAGCGCCTCCAAACCTCCTTGTGTGGGAGGCGGTTGCGGTAACGAAGAGCGTGGCCATCGGTGGGGCGTCGACGCACCTGCTGCCCGCGCTCCCGGTCGGCTGCTCTTAGGTCCCTGCGTTCTCATCCCTGAAGGAGGGAGGACGGCGTCCACCTGCCCGAGCTGTTCATGGGTTCGCACCCGCCGGCCACGCGCACACCGCACACTCGGCCCCTTCTGTGGACGCCTTCCGTTGTGGTATGACAGTGTCCTGTGGTCTCGGTCAGGGACTCTGGTGTCGGCTCTGCCACTACCCGGCCGCGTGGCCCCAGGAAAGCCACCTCTTTTTCCGAGTCTGCGTCAGGCCGACCTGCCTCGAGCTCCCTCGCGTGCTGCGGCGCACATTTAAATCCCTCACGGCCCGTGGCTGACCAGGCCCAGGCGACAGACACGGCCGTCTCCAGCTCCGTGCAGCCCCCCGGCCCCGCCCCAGCTTTATTTGCACGTTGGGGAGCTCAGCATGTCTGAACCGGGTACAGAACTCAGGGTCACACAGTCAGTGGCCCAAGGGGACAGAGGACACAGGTATCAGGACCCTTCCTCCCACAGAGCTGAAGGCCCCTCGCTCAGTCTTCCCCAAAACTGCACTTTCGTGTCGCCTTGCCTGTGGGTGGCGGTTAGAGCCTCAGGAGACTGCGGTCTGCTTCTCTCGCGCATCTGGAAATGCAGAGGGTTTGGTCCGCCATCCCGTCACCAGGGCAGCCCCCGCTGGCCCACAGCCGGCCCGAGGGGATGGGCAGGGACAAGCAGCTGTGGCACACGGAGGTCACAATGCCGCCGGCGTCTTCACCCACCCCTGGGCCCCGAGCACATGGGCTACAGACAGCGTCTGCCTGCGTTTCCCCGGGGCTCCCCTGCTCCATGGGGGACGGGAATGTGCGTGTGGCCAGGGAGTCCCAGCGTCCTTGAGACCCGTTGTCAGAGGACCCACGGGTCAAACTATTTCACCACCACCACCAAGATGTACATGCATGTTTACTCCTCTCTGGAGCCCAGAGGCCGCACGGTGTGTGACGTCGAAACAGGCAGAGGCAGAGATGAGAAACCCAGGTTGGCTATGGAAACAGACCCGGAATTGTCCAAACTAGACTGAGTCCACCCTTCTGTGGAAAGCACGTCCATAAAATGTGTTAATGTGCCTTCTGTATAAGACTCCTCTACACTCAGATTCTGTGTTTGGAGGTGAAAGAAAGCCGTCCAGAACTGGTCTACGCCAAGAAGAAATCATTATACCAATAAGTCAGTCAACCACCCAGTCAGTCAATCAGCCAATCAGTCAATCAATCAGCCAATCAATCAACCACCCAGTCAGTCAATCAGCCAGTCAATCAACCACCCAGTCAATCAGTCAATCAACCACCCAGTCAGTCAATCAGCCAATCAATCAACCAGCAGCCAGTCAGTCAACCAACCAGCCAACCAGTCAATCAACCAGCCAATCAATCAATGAGCCAGGCAGCCAGCCAGCCAGTCATTCTTGCAGGTGGTCTGCGTTCCGGCTGAGGCTCCCCTCACAGAGCCAACTGTGCTCTTGTGGCTCCCAGGACCCCTCTGGTGTCCCTGCAGGGGGGCCACCCCCTCACCCGTGTGGGCCTGTCCTGAATGCTAGGAGACAGGAGCCCCGTGGACCCAGCAGCTGCAGGGTGGTTCCTGGGGCCGTGGCCACGGAGCTGCCGGGACCCCCAAAGCACGGGATCCACAGCAGCTCTCCCAGAGCCCCAGGCGGCTGCGCAGACAGGGACGCAGCACGCAGAAGGCAACGCAAAGCAAATGTGAAACGAGACCCTTGTCAAAGATGCTCTGAAATTGTATTGAGGTCTATCGAAAAAAAAAAAAAAACACCACATGCAGATATATGTGCAAAAATCTCCAAAGACCAGGATCAATACATGTGAGGGCCTGGGCTCAAGAATTTGTAATTACTTCCTATTTAAAACACCAGAGACCCCCCCTCCCCCTTCATTATAAAAGTAACACATAGATAGTCCTTGTAGAAAGCTTGAGAAGTGAGGTAAAGCAGTAAAAGGAAGATAAAAACCACATACAATCCCATCACCCAGAGACGCTGGGGTAGCTCTTCTCTGCTACACACTCCACATGACTGGCATCACACGGACATGCAGCTGTGTGTCCCGGTCTCACGCAACCTCGCATTGGGGACGACGTCTTACAATTCTTTGTAAACAGGAGTGACGGCCCCTGGCACCCCCTGGACGGGAGTAACAGGGACACGAGAAAAGCAGGTGCAGGAGGCGAGGGGCCACCCTGCAGGGGTCAGGGGAGGCGGGCCCAGCTCTTAGCAGCTGCATTTAAAAGCGGGACTTTCGGGGCACCGGGGGGGCTCTGTCGGTTAAGCGTCAGACTCGAGCTCAGGTCACGATCTCGCGGTCTGTGGGTTCGAGCCCCGCGTTGGGCTCTGTGCTGACAGCTCGGGGCCTGGAGCTGCTTCGGATTCTGTGCCTCCCTCTCTCTCTGACCCTCCCCTGCTCACGTGCTCTCTTTCTCTCTGCCTCAAAAATAAACATTTTTTAAAAATTACAAGCGGGAACTTCGCCGCCTCCCGGAGGACCTGCTGGTGGATTTCCATCCGGGGGCAGAGCAGGCGCTGGGCTCTCAGCCCCCGCGGGAAGCGCCATGCAGCCCACGCCCGGGGACAAAGGAGAGGCCAGCCCTGGCAGTTGGTAAAGACAGCGCTTTAGTCACATCACCAGCGGCCCCCGCCTTTGTCGGGGTGTCGGATGGGGTGGGCCTGGCAAGATGGACACGGGGGGGGGGCGGGGGCGGGGCTCCGGGGTCCTCCCGCGGGAACCGGGTGGGGGGCTCCGCCGCCCTCGGGGAGCGCGGCCTACAGCATGGGGTAAGCGATGACGAAGTAGTTGAGCTCCGCGTCGATGAGCCGCCGGTACTTCCTGTGGATCTCGCGCAGCGTCCTGTCCTCGTCGCTGGTCTCGTACCTGTTGGTGTAGACCCGCACCTGTGCGGCCAGAGACGCGCCGTGACTGCGCCGCCGGCCCCACAGCGCCCCAGCCCCGGGCACGGCGGCGGGCGCAGCCGGGGACAGGCCGGGGCCCCACCTTGAGGGTGCGCAGGGAGCACTGCCCTTCCTCCTGGCTCTTCAGGATCCGCTCCACGAACCTGACGTCCAGGAAAGCCCAGACTTTGAAGTAGAACAGCTTCCTGCAGGTCAGGACGAGCAGGCACAGCTCCTCGTCCAGGGACTCGTGGCTGTTGTTGAACTCGAACGTTAGCTTCTGGAAAAGCACCAAGGGGGGCGGAGCAGAGATGCTGGGACCGGCTGGGGCCCCCCACACGCCCCCGGTGGCCCCAGGCCTGCAGGTGACACACGGGGACCTGTGGGTGATCTCCCCCAAGTCTGCAAGACGCATTTGGAGCTCAGAGACCCAGGCTGGCCCCGCCCTGCAGCACCCTGGCCCGGCGGCCGGGCGGCCGCCCCCCTGCGCGGAAGGACAGCAGTGGGCAAGTGTCAAATGAGCTCGCAGCCCTCGGTGGCCCTCGGGAGGGGGGGTATTTACACCAGTTGGCACCAATTGTCGCAGCCTCCCTGAGGTCCTTGGGGGCACACGATGACCCTGATTTGATGGATGGGGAGGTGGCCAGGGGAGAGGCCAGCGAGCACCCCTGGGCTCCTCAGTGACTTGGTGGGTCTGGTCTGGGCTCACTCAGTCTCCCGTGTGGAGTGGGACCCTGTGCCGGAGGAAGCGGCCACAGACCCGCCCTCATCCGGAGAGGCTCCGAGAGCGCCCAGCGGGGCGTGCACAGGTCAGCGGTGGCTGTCACCCGCTGTGACCTGGGGGGGCGCTTTGTCTGGGGACCTTGCCCGAGCCGCAGTCTGGGTGGAGTGAGCGCAGGCCCCGCCCACCTGCAGCGTGTGCCGGAAGGTGGGCAGGAGATCCGTGAGCGTGGGCCGCATGGACCAGTCGGGGTCGCTGAAGTAGCAGCTTCTCAGACTGATGCTCCGAACAGGGATCTCCCGCAGGAGGATGCGGGCCAGGCGCTCGTGCTTCATGATGCGCTCGAAGAAGAAGTTCACCTTCAGGCTGGAGGCCTGCCTGGCCAGCCTGGCCCAGGACATGCCCCAGACGACCTGGCCGTGGGGGTCGTGAACGTGGCACTTGATGTTCAGGGTCCAGAGGGTCCTGGAGTTGTTCTCACACAGGCTGTCGAGCAGCTCGTCCGAGACGCAGTTGTAGTTGAGGGTCAGGGACACCAGGCTGCGGAAGGCGGCCATGGTCTTGTTGAACTGCGGGCTGCTGTAGACAGCCAGGTGGTGGCTGAAGTAGTCCTCGATGTTGAGCTGCGACAGCACGCTCTCGCCCCGGAAGCGGCTCAGGGAGCCGAGCACCGCGCAGCCCTGCTCCACGCTCAGCCGGGCCCCTTTCAGGCTGAGGCGGTCCAAGTGTTTGCCCACTTTCTTTAGGAAGAAGCTCAGGCTCTTGATGAACGAGGTCCGGATGCTGCTCCTCCAGACCGGACGGTCCAGCTCCAGGTGCTGGACGGACAGAGACTTCAGACGGCTGTTACTCTTGCCCAGACACGACAGGAGGCCTCGCATGGTGACCTGGAACTTCCTGGTGAGCACGGCGTTGTAGGGGTTCAGAAAGTGGATCTCCAGGTGCTCCAGGTAACGGCCGAATTTCTTCACGTACCAAAGAGCGGACTCGAACTCGGACGCATGCGCCCTGGACGGTCTCCCGCTGAACGTGATGGTCCTGTACCGCCAGAGGTCAGCCGAGTGCATCGTCTGGTTCCACTTCCTGCAGACGAGGGTGGCCCTGGCCCTGTCCCTGTCTCCCAGCCACCAGAAGACACGGCGCAGGCACACGTCAGGCAGCACGGCCCAGCAGCTCTGGTCCTGGGGCTGGACCGCCTGGCTTTCTTCGGCCATCGAGGGACCGGGCCGTCCGGAGCCGCCGGGTGGGAGGCAGGGGCTTCCAAAAATGGGAACCAAAAGCAATCACTCGCTTTCTGTGGGGAGTAAACAGAAACAACCGTTACCTGCCAAGCGGAAATTAGACCCCCTCGAATGAACTTGCACCCTGGCCGCACGCGCAGCCGGAGGTGCCGTGAGGAGTGAGCCTCAGGGCGAAGACCCACACACACTCAGGCCGTCGGGGTCACACACACACACACACACACACACACACACACACACACACCCAGGACCCATCACAGCGGCAGAAGGGAGAGGGCTGGGGCGCGCTCATGGGGAAGGGCGCTACGCGTGGCCGATGATTAGTTCTGTCTGGGGGGGCGTAGATGGGGCTGCTCAGAGGCGGCGGCATCGGAGAGGGAATTTGCAGGGTGAGTGGGACCCGCGAGGCAGCCTGGTCGGCCTGCTGGCGCTGGAGGAGCTGCGGAGCTCTCCGGGCCGAGGGCACAGGGCACAAAAGCCCCAGGCCTGGGAACGTGCAGGAACTAAAACCCGTAGCCTCACTTGTCAGGGGCGGGGGCTTTGGAGCTGAGTCAGGGGAGGTGCTGGGTCACGGGGCCCCCGGGTGATGTGACAGAGGCTGTCTCCTAGGGGCCAAGGCTTTGCAGTTTTGACCCTCTGGGTCCCCTTCTCGGGGTGGGGACAGCTGCTTGGCGCTGTTGCCGATGGGGGGTTTGACTCAGGGCGAGCAGCAGAGCAAGGGTCAAGGGCAGAGAGCCTCCGCCAGGGCCACTGGGGCCAGGCAAGGGCCAAGGATCCCGTGTCCAGAAGTGACGTCAGTCCTGACGCGTGGAAAGGGCCCCCAGCGAGGAGGCCGCAGCCCTGCTGCTCCTCGGCCTCTTCTGTGGCTCCTTCGGCTGGCGGAGCTCCGGGAATGCCTTCCTTACAGACAGAAACCGAGGCCCGAGGGGTAAAGGGCCTGCCTCTGGTCACCCAGCAAGGTGGTGACAGCCCTCGGGAGCTGAGGGACGCGTTAATCACGTTTCTCAATTCAGGACGGACGCATGCCTGCGCCAGGCCTCTCCGTGGGTTCGTGCCCTTGGTGTTCTTGTGCCCACGCCGAGCCGTCCGCCGCGTCCGCCCAGTGTCTGTGCGTGTGCTTGTGAGCGGGCTCGTTTGCTCTCTGCGCCTCTCACGGCGGCATCTGGCATCCGGATGGAAGCCTGCTGGGCTCCCCTGCCTCTCTCCTCTCGGCTCTGCCTGGGACCGACCCCCAGGCGCCCCCCACGGTGATGTGCACCCTCGGGCAAGCTCCTGTGCGCCGGGAGGCTGGTTCTTTGGGGTCCTCTGCGTCCCAGACCCTCCCTCCACGCCCAGCGAGCAGTCCCCGGCCTGCAGCTCACGCTCCCACGTCCAGATCCAGACAGACTCCGCGTGGGATCTGGCTGCGGCCCGGCCCTTCCCGGCCACGCCGGTTCCCAGAGCCCGTGCACGCTGCCGCCAGCCCCTGCTCGCCCGGGGCCGTCCCTGAGAACACTCTTCGTCCCAGCCTGGGTCTCCCACAGGACTCACCCCCCCCTTGAGACCAGGGACGGCCTCATTTGTCTGAGTTGCCCTTTCGCGTTGAATAAAGGGAGAGAGAGAGGTCTCTTCGCCCGCAGACACTGGCTCCCCAGCACTTAGCTTGGGGCTGTTGCTCCAGAAAAGCCAAACCAATTCCAAAGCTCAGGAAAAGCCCTGGCGCTAGCAGTCACCGGGCACAAGAGTTCTCAGACGCGGGAGCCCCGGGGTGGTGTGGGCGGAGCTGTGCAGGCTGGGAAAGCCCGTGGCGACCGGGCGGGACACCCCCTCCCCACCTAAGCCTCCTGGCCAGCGGGTGCCGCCTGGTTCCGCCAGTTGCTAGTATGACCTTAGGCAAGTTCGTTTTCTCTGTGCCTCAGTCTCCACCTCTGAAAACCAGGGCTAATGAGGGCGCCTGTGTCTCGGCTGGGAGAACTGAAGAGCCGGCGTGCGGGTGGGGAAGGGTGGGCCCCATGAAGCCGGTGCCCGGGCGCTGCTGGGGGCCCCTCCCGGGAGGGCGAACGCACCCGGTTTGCAGGGGGGCGGGGATCGGAGGCCTCGCAAGGTGAGAAAGCCTCCCAGCGGATGCCCCAGAGAGCGGGGTGTGGGGTGGGGTGGGATTCGAACCCACCGCACGGGCCCTCGGACCCAGGCCTCTGCCAGGCGGCGGCTGCCAGCCCCGGGGAGGAAGCCTAGGGAAGCCGCGCCACCCGCGGCCCGGAGGTGCCCGAGGACCCTGCTTCCCGGGGGGGCGGCAGGGGCCCCGGTACCTGCTCGCCGCGCCCGGTCTGGGCTGCGGGGACCGCCAGCCTCCCGCCTGCTCCCGCGCCGCCTTCGCTCCGACGCCGACTCCGCGCTGGCCTCCGGGGCGCGCGCCCTCGCGGGGGGATGAGCCTTTGTGACGCGCCGCGGCCTCCGGGCGTCCTGTGCCCTGGGCTCGGGCCCAAACCTGGGGGTCGCCGGAGTCCCCGCGGGGCCTGCAAGGGGACGAAGTGTGGGGGGACCCGGTGCGGGGGTCCCAGGAGGGCGGGGTGTCGGGGTTCCGTGTGCAAGGGGGGGGGCGGGGTCTGGGGTTCCGTGGGGGGTGGGGTCCCGGAATAAGAGACGATAGGTTCGGGCACTAGCGGGGAGGGGGCGGGAGGGTGTGATGGGGGCGGGGCGGGGGTCTAGGTCAGAGGGAGGGGCGCGAGGCGCGGGGTCTGAGAGCGGAGCTGGAGTCAGGGGAGGGGGGGCCGGGGGCGCCGGGGGTCAGAGAGTCCGAGGGGAGCGCAGGAGGCAGGGGCGGGGTCTGGGGCCAGGGGCGGGGGCTGCACCTGCTAGGCTGAGGATGCGCCTGGGGAGGAGGCTGGGGGCGAGCTTGGCGGGCGGCCTGTGGGAGGAGGCGTGCGCTCTGCCTCTCCCCCTGCCCGGCTCTACTTTCCCGGCTCAGGCGTGGTTCCCACCGGAAAGCCTTGGCAAACCTGGCTCACCTAAGACAAAGCACGGGTGGGCATCTAACGCACCCACTTTCCTTGGCCCTCCCCTCCCCAGGCCCTAAGGGGTTCCCCAAAGGCCAGGCAAAAAGGCAGGGGTGCACGGTTGCGCGTGGGGAGGCTGCATCTGCGGGCCTCAGACGCCAGCCTTCCGGGGCTCCTCTGTGCGTCTTGCGCCCCCTCCCCTCCCCTCCCCCACCCTCCCCTCCCCCCTCCCCT